AAAAAAAAAAAAAAAAAAAAGTGAATGAGAATAGCCATGTATCAATATAACTTTACAAAAACAGGTGGCAAGCTGCATTTGGCAACCCCTGCCACTCACTGTCTTAGATTGAGTTCCCCAGAAGCAAATCCTGAGATGAGGATTCATGTCCAAGTTACTTGTTAGGAATGTGCTCCCAGGAGAATTGGTAAGAGCTAGAGGGAACAGGGAAAGGAAAGAAGCGAAGTTTCCCTGAAGGTTGTTTCAGGCTGAAGAGTCACAGATGTACACCATTAGAAGCAAACACACACCAAAACCTAGGGATATAAAAATTAAAATGGGTAAAAAGACTCCCAGAGCATCTAGTCAGAACACTGACAGTGTCCACTACTGTCATGCAGCAAGTAAGTGGTAAAGTAAGTGTGCTTTGTGACACCACACAGATGGGTGTAGGGAGGCACCTAGAACTCTTAAAACTGGTAAAATGACTACATTGTGAATTATAGCCTTATGGTTATATCGACATAGCTAACAATGGGATGTCACAACTGAAGGTGAGTGGGCCTCTTGAAAACTGGGAGGCAGTTGAACACAGTGGTTTCAGAGCTCTGGCTGTGGAGCAATAGAGACCTGTGTCCAAATTCTGGCTCTTCCACTGACTATGTGACCTTGAGAAAGTTTCTTACCACTTTCCTCAATTTTCTCATGCAGAAAATGAGAATGGTAATAATAGTATCTTTTTTTTTTTTTTTTTTAGACAGAGTCTCGTTCTGTTGCCCAGACTGGAGTGCAGTGGTGCAATCTTGGCTTACTGCAACCTCCGCTCATGGGTTCAAGCGATTCTCCTGCCTCAGCCTCTCGAGTAGCTGGGATTACAGGTGCCCACCATCACGCCTGGCTAATTTTTGTATTTTTAGTAGATGGGGTTTCACCATGTTGGTCAGGCTGGTCTGCAACTTCTGACCTCAAGTGATCTGCCCACCTTGGCCTCCCAAAGTGGTGGGATTACAGGCATGAGCCACCGTGCCCAGCCAGTAGTATCCTTTATATGGCTCTACTGTGAAAGTAAACTGAAATAATTCTTATAAATGCTTAACATAGTACCTGGTGTTCAATGACTATTAGCTATTATTATTTTTATTGAAAATGGGAATCAGAGAAGCAGTTTATCCAGGACTGTTCAGAGAACAGAGTACCCTGTGGGAGGACTCGTGTGTCTGGTCCCTATGGCTAAAATATCCTTATAGCAAATGAATATATATGAATGGCTGGCCCCACTTGGCTGTTATTGTGCTTTTCTGATTTGCTGTGCTTGCTTGACTTCATGCTCTGTAGGAATCTTCTTCTTGTTTTTTTAGAGACAGGGTATTGCTCTGTCCCCAGGCTGGAGTGCAGTGGTGTGATCTTGGCCCACTGCAGCCTCTTGAACTCCTATGCTTAAGGGATCCTTTGGAATCTTTTGATCATAATCAAAAATTAATTTGGAAGCGGCCAGGCATGGTGGCTCATGCCTGTAATCTCAGCACTTTGTGAGGCTGAGGCGGACAGATCACAAGGTCAGGAGATGGAGACCATCCTGGGTAACATGGTGAAACCCTGTCTCTGCTACAAAAAATACAAAAGAAATTAGCCAAGCACCTGTAGCCCCAGCTACCCAGGTGGCTGAGGCAGGAGAATAGCGTGAACCCGGGAGGCAGAGCTTGCAGTGAGCTGAGATCGGGCCACTGGACTCCATCCTGGACGACAGAGTGAGACTCCGTCTTAAAAAAAAAAAAAAAAAATTAATTTGGAATCAATTTGACTTCCAATTTAGATTTCCTATAAAGAGAAAAGGGACTGGCCAGAGGATTCAACTCCAGTCTCCATGATGGCTATTTTTCTTGTTATAAGTTAGTAAATTGGCATTCTGGCTTATATTTCAGTCTCTTGGTGTTGAGTTAGGATCCACACAGCTCTGGGCCCTCATGTGATGTATTCTTGGATATGGATCAATTCTCCAAGGCTCTACTTCCCTCAGGCCCCACTTTGGAAGGCAGTGGCTTTCCCAAGCCCCTTCTTACTTGCTGGCCCCAAATCTCTGAGTCAACAGAATCAAAAGTCACTGCTTGTAAGCATGACTGCCCCAGTGGTCAGCTTTTGTTCCCCCTTCACCTTTGGTAAAGTTCTCTTGGAAGATGCCATCCTGTGCTAAGGAGAACAAAGGAAGGAAATCTGGATTTGTCCACAGTTTGGCAGAGCTCTACAGGTATATGAGGTCAGGTGTGGGGGTAATGAAGGGATTGTGGGTCAGCAAACCCAGTGGGATTTCAGCCTGGAACTTAGTCAGGTTCTGCCACCCTTACCCCCATCCCATGTGCTGTATCTACCAGGGCTTTTTGTGGCTTCAACTTTGGGAAGCACGTGTTGGGTTCTCCTAGGCAAGATAGTTTTCCTTGAGCCCCAGGGCTTGAAGAGGAACATAAGAAGGGGCAGCTGGGGAGCAGCCAGCTGCTTCTGGGTACGTTGTCCGGGTGCCAAACCCTGATAGATTAGGGCTATCCCAACTGCTGATCCTGTGATCCTCTTAGGGAGGCAAGTGGGGATTAAAGGAAACCTAATCCCAAGAGCTGAAGATCCCCAGCCTGGGGCTGCTCCCAGCTGGGACTGGCCATAGGAGGGCCTAGAAGAGGCCACTGGATCTTCTAAGGAAGTCATGCCCTTTGGACTATAGATCCACATCCACTCCTCTCACCTCTATCCCTTCTCCATCCTGACCCTACCCACTTTGGGACTGCTGTCCAGGCACTTCCCACCAGAGTGTTGGGAAGTTGTCAAGACTCTGTTTTTCAAGACTTTGCTTGGTTGTCACCTTCCTGGAAACTCTTGGCTGACTCACCTGAGGTGAGGTCCAGACCCTCCTGTGTGCTCTCACAGCCTGTCCCTATTGAAACACTCATCATGTTTTGCAGCAACTGTCAGATTACACATTTGTTCCTCCTACTGGAGCAGGAGCTCCTTGAGGACAGGGACATTTATTCATTGGCAGAGCCTAATATGTAGTGCTCGATACATATGTTAAGAATTGCAGCCAGGTGTGGTGGCTCGTGCCTATAATTCCAGCACTTTGGGAGGCCGAGGCAGGTGGACCACCTGAGGTCAGGACCAGCCTGACCAACGTGGTGAAACACTGTCTCTACTAAAAATACAAAATTAGCTGGGCGTGGTGGTGCGTGCCTGTAATCCCAGCGACTCAGGAGGTTGAGGCAGGAGAATTGCTTGAACCCGGGATGCAGAGCCAAGATTGCGCCACTGCGCTCCAGCCCGGGCAACAAGAATGAAACTCTCTCTCAAAAAACAAAACAAACCAAGCAAACAAACAACAAAAAAATGTCGCAAGGAAGTGATTGGCTCCACTGTGTGTCCCCACCTAGTTTCCCCTTCACTTGTTAATTCTGTTTTGGAAAACAAAGTAGAATAACCCCTAACATGAAGCCTTCCCGGGGTTGATACCTTCTAAGGTTTTCTAAGAGGCTGGGGATTAGGATAATGCTAACTTATATCATTATTATGCTACCAATGATGTTGCGGTCCTAATGATACCAGTATTATCCCCATTTTGAATTTGAGGAAACTGAGGCTCAAAGAGTTGAATGATTTGCTGTGGCTGTGTGACTAGGAATATCAGAACCTTAATCTCTGAACTCCTAACTTTAGAGCTCCTTCAGCTACTCTACAGCTCTTAGTTCTTTTCTTTTCTTTCTTTTTTTTTTTT